TCACCTTTGATCCGTGTTCGTTCCTTAAGTTAAAGACATCTCCCACTCCCTGTTTACAACAAGTATTATGCGAGCTACCCTCAAGCCTGGTTCAAAGGTGGCTCTTCTTCAAGCTCTCTTCTGGACGGCTTCAACCAACTTGAAAGTTGCTCATATGAATTCATGTACAACAGGTAGCAATGCCCTTTGTTACTAGTAGCGTCCTCTTGTTACTTGTAGTACTGCCCTTTGTTACTAGTACAGGATCTCATCCTGACACCCAACGGCCAATACAGCCAACGGTTGCACAAGGATGAGCCACATTTGAGGTCGAAGGGTTCTAGCTTCTAGCTCGCTGCCCCAGGGATTCCGTGCTCCGTGTGCTTCATAGGCTCAGACATAGAAGCAAAATGTGTTCCCATCCTGGATGTCTTCCGTTTGGCTCATGGCATTCATGGAGTGCCTTTGCCTTACATGTCCATGGTGCTTCAGGTGCAACCAGCTCGCTTCGAAACCAGCGCTTCATGCTGCGCTGGAGCACTGTTCAGATGGAGTCATGAACGACGTTCGCACTAGTTGAATGTTCATTGCATTGCGCTTTAGGAGGGCAGATGGAGCAACGTGGAGGATCTTCACAAGACCAGGCACTGGTCATCTCGCTGTTCGTCCCAGTCTCTGAATTCAACCCATGTTCGCTTCACCGTCACCAGCTCAGAGTAGTCCTGCAAAGGGCCTGGCTGGGACATTGAAAATTGGGTCGCGTTTGGAGATGTGAAAACTAAGGAACGCTCTGCACCAACTTCTCCACGGCTTCAGACGGAATCGGCTTTCTTTCAAATGCTTCAGCACATGTTAAGCACACCAAACAGAGCAGAGGCATTCATATTTGGAGATTGCTCATGCCGCTCATGCAATCAAACAACTCAGTATTGAGTACAAAAGGAGTTGTCTTTCAAGCAAGGCCTCAACAAAGCTTTGCTTGCATCTTCACTCGGCAGTTTGTGGTTCTGTGCCGTTGTCTTCCTCGGCATGAAGCATGACTTCGTATGACTGTCCCTCAAATTTTGTCGCGCTAAACCCTTCAACTTGATTCTTTCCTCACAGAGAAACTGGCCAAACCACACGAGAGAAGTCGAGCAGTTGAGCCACTTTTGCCGGTTGAGGTGCTGTCGATCTATCGCTGAAAACTGGCGAAAGCTGGGCTAACACGTGTGAGACTTGCTCTCGTCGTTCCGGCGTTACTAGCTTAAGGAGTCCTAAGAGGGTTCTTTTTTTAAAGAGTTCCATTTGCTGCTTTAGAGCTTTCAAGGGTTCCACGCACGAACACGTGATGGGTCACATCACCGTTACCCATCACGCTTCGAACGCAGGACCAAAACTCTTTGCTTCCCTTCTTGGCGCAGGATTTCGAGTTGAAAGGGTCACGGCTATGTGGAAGAAGAGTTAAAACATGAGTCTTTGGGACTGACTCCTTGAGCATGTCACTATGATGTGGAAAGCACAAATCAAGACATGTTCAAGCTCAACGAGAAACTCAACAAATAGAATTGCCTTTGATGTTTCTGATGCAGTTCGGGCACTTCGCAAATCGCTAACATCCTTGGAAGGCTCGTAGCGGAGCAGCAGGGACACCCAAGAAGGGCCGCCTGCCAATCATGCATTCATTCCGTTCTTATGCAGCGCGGAAGGAAGCGTGAGAAAGGGTGTCAAATTGCATTGGATTAATTAGTGAGAAAATTAAATGAGGTTTCAGACAAATTGACCAACTGGAGGGGTGTCTCACCTCCCACAAAGCGGAAGAGTCAGTTCAAATTGGCAGCTCAAAGCCAAAGCTGTACTTCGTTGCGTCAACGCTGCAGCCCAAAAATGGACTTTTACATGTGTCGCTGATACAGCTGGAGATCATGTTCGAAGCAAGTTATAGATCGCATTTTGCTTTGCATGTTACATGTTGATTCGATTGCAGATTCAACACCTCGGCAAAGGAAAGAAGAGATGCAATGTACTCAAAGCGGCTGAAACGTAAGCTCAAGCTTGTTCCAATTGTGACTGAGAAGATATGCCTCCCGGTACTTTCATGGCGCCATGTCCCTGATTGCTGCTACAGCGCCTTCAAAGGGCAGACAATGAAAGGTCTGCAAATTCTTGTTGGCGTCGCGCCAGCTTTCAAGTGCATCTGAGTCTGCATCATTCCAAGTTGAACATCAAGTCTTGAGCTTTTCATGTCCACACACCAAAAAAAGCAAGAGAACATGGAGGAATAAGGACATCCGCTTGTGGCGTGTGGCAGTGAAGTTGCGTGTGGCAGTGTCTACAGATGCACCACTATGGTCTTCCCTTTGTCCGAGATGCCGCGGTTTCCACAAAGCACGAGTAGGCCATTTGATGGGATGTCAAATGAGCAGCTTCAAAAACCTCTATGGTGAAAAGTGTGCAAACTGTAATCTCACATTCTTTCGCGAAAGCCAAAACGCAGGTCGCGAAAGGTTCGCAAAAGCCCCGCGAAAGAACCCCAGAAGAACAGCGTCGCGAAAGCTTTCGCGAAAGTCAAATTTCTTGTGCACGTCGTATTGTTTACGTGGGTGACAATATTTTTATGCAGGCAGCCGCAGCAGGCCAGCCAGCCAGCCGCAGCAGACCAGCCAGCAGCAGCAGCAGCACTGAAGAGCAAGTGAGCCGCTCTAAAAGCCTGCTTTTACATCTTAAGTAAGGACCTTGTCATATCGAATTCCGCGTAAGCAAAACCCTGGGTTGCGTAAGATTGCGTAAGCATTTCGCGTAAGCATTTCGGAAGTTTGTGTTGCAAAAGTGAGGGCCGCGTAAGCAGCGCGTAAGGCCTCGCGCAAGGAAAGTGATACGACATAGGGAGTGACTCCAGGTTTTTAGAGCGGCTCAAGTGTTTCAGGGGGAAATCGAAAAGCCCAGACGAATTTCCGCGAAAGCCGCGCGAAAGCCTCGCGAAAGAACCGCGCAGTGTGCAGCTGTTGGATAGGACTTGCGCACGGAACGGCTTTAGATACGAAAGGTTGGGATAGATTCCAAAGGTGGACGACTGCTGCTTTGGCGACGTTCTGTCATTCTTGATGTCGACTTTCACAAGCGCTGGTTCACCAAAGCTATCCAGGAACTAAATTCCAGCAGAAGCAAAAAAAAGGTGAGGATATTTCAGATTAATGCTTGCCTCACCGCTTTCCATTTCCATGGTTGAAAATAGCCGCTCTGCGTGATGTTGACGGATTCGTTGAGACAGCACTTGTTTGCAGTGCTGCATGTTGGAATCACGCGTGGCATGGACCTTGACTTGTCGAATGCCCGCTGCACAACCTCAACCGCGGAGAGACCTTGGTTTGAAGCCTTGCTGCTGCCCCATCCAAACCGTCAAGAGCTTGAAGCACATCCTCCCAAGACACGCGGTTTCAAGCCGTTTAGGCTTTGCATTGCCCATGGAGGACGGCAACTTGGAGATGTTGAGGTACATCGCTTGCAACCCTCACTCCACTCTTTCTGCAGAAAGCTTTTCCGCACGTTTTGAAAGATATGAGAAGTGTCCATTAAGGGTCGACCACGTAGGGGCATAACTCATCGTTTGGTTCAGTCCCCTTGGGGGCCCATGTTGCAGCAAAATGCAGACATCACTCCAGCCGCAAACGGAAGCCTGGCCGTGCTCACCTTCTGTTTTCAATCCGCATGGCATATGGCTATGCAG